CAGCGGCCGCCTTGTGAGCTGGCCCGGCCGGTTTGTGTCGCGCCCAGCAGCGAATTAGGTTCGCCCGTCGGCCCGGACGACTTCTCTCGCCGCCTGCGCGCTCGCTGGTGGCCGCGACCAAAAAAGTATCCCCACCAGCCCATCCAGAAACGATGTCCAGGCGAGTTGAGGTGATCAGGGAAGTGCGGGAGCAAAGAGGGGGACGGCCGAACCGTGCGAAGAAGGGAAGAGGAGGAGAAAGAGGAGGCTGGATGGATGAGGGAGTGGGGGAAGGATTACTAATAGGATGATGATGATGATGATGATGATGATGATGATGATGATGATGATGATGATGATGATGATGATGACGAGGAGGAGGAGGATGACCAGTGTAAACCACAGAGCCATCAACGATGTTGGAATTAACCCTCCCTCCAAGCTCCCTCTTCATAGGCCCCTGCAGCGGTTCATTTCCATTGAGGGAACTGCCTCGTTGGAAGACAACCGTTTGAAGATCCTGAAGCATGCCGAAACATTGTTTTCGGGATCTCATCGTCACGTATCAACCTGATTGCTGCGTCTTGACGGTCCAAAATCGTGCCAGGACGCCACGTTTGTGACTTCAACACCGCTTATCAACATAGCTGTTGCACCCGCATAATCCTGAATCCTTCCAGAACGCCATCTTTGGTACGTTGAGAATGGGAACCCGTAGAGCTCTTACAATTTTTGAACGAATGTGCACGGCGCTATGGCGAGAACCACATTTTGAAACTGACCCGCCCTAAATCCGTAAAGCTCTTGCAAGTTGTCAAACGAATGTGCGCGGCGTTAATGCGAGAGCCACATTTTGAAAACGACCCGCCCTCAATCCGTGAAAATGTTGCACATGTTTTGCAACGAGTGCGCGCGACGCTAAGGCGAGAGCTACATTTTGAAGACCACCCGCCCTCAATCCATGAAGCTCTTCCAACTTTTTAGGACGAATGTGCGCGGCGCTTAGGCGATAACCACATTTTGAAAACCACCCGCCCTCAATCCGTGAAGCTCTTGCAACTTTCTAGAACGAATGTGCGCGGCGCTAAGGCGAGAGCCGCATTTTGAAGACTACCCGCCCTCAATCCGTGAAGCTCTTGCAAAGTTTTGAATTAATGCGCGCGGCGCCAATGCGAGATCCACATTTAGAAAACCACCCGCCCTGCATGTGTGAAACCGTGGTCATTTTTTAAGATTCGAAATCACAAATGGTGAGGAACTCTCAGGCGAAACGCCCGGCCCGACCTAAATGTTGGCACCGGGGTGCGACAGAAAGAAGTTATTTAGAAGTAGACTGAATGGAGGATGAGGAGGAGGAAGAGGAGGAGGAGGAGGAGGAGGAGGAGGAGGAGGAGGAGGAGGAGGAGGAGGAGGAGGAGGAGGAGGAGGGAGGAGGAGGAGGAGGGAGGAGGAGGAGGAGGAGGAGGTAGAGGAGGAGGAGGAGGAGGAGGAAAAGGAGGAGGAGGAGGCGGAGGAGGAGGAGGAGGAGGAGGATGACCAGGAGGAGGAGGAGGAGTAGTAGGACCAGTGTAAAACCAAGAGTCGTCGACGATGTCGGAATTAATCCTCCCTCCGAGCTCCCTCCTCATAGGCCCCTGCAACGGTTCATTTCCATTGAGGGAAGTGATTCGTTAGAAGACAACCTTTTGAAGATTCTAAAGCATGCCAAAACATTGTTCTCGGGATGTCAACGCCACGTATCAAACTGACTGCTGCGTCTTGACGATCGGGAATTGTGCCAGAGCGCCATTTTTGGGGCTTCAACACCGCGAACCAACATAATTGTTGCACCCGCATAATCCAGAATCTTGCCAAAAGACAATTGCTGGTACGTTGATCATGGGAATCTGTGGAACCCTGGCAATTTTTCAAACGAATGTGCGCGGCGCTACGGCGAGAGCTACATTTTGAAAACGACCCGCCCTCAATCCGTGAAGCTCTTGCAAGTTTTTGCAATGATTGTGCGCGGCGCTAAGGCCAGAGCCACATTTTGAAAACGACCCGCTCTCAATCCGTGAAGCTGTTGCAAATTTTTAGGACGAATGTGCACTGCGCTAAGGCGAGAGCCACATTTTGAAAACCACCCACCCTCATTCCGTGAATCTCTTGCAAATCTATGAAACGATATACGCGGCGCTAAGGCGAGAGCCACATGTTGCAAACCACCCGCCTTCAATCCGTGAATACCTTGCAACTTTTTAGAACGAATTGGCGCGGCGCTAAGGCCAGAGCCACATTTTGAAAGCCACCCGCCCTCAATCCGTGAAACTCTTGCAAGTTTTTTGAACGAGTGCGCGCGGCGCTAAGGCGAGAGCCACATTTTGAAAACCACCCGCCCTCAATCGGTGAAGCCCTTGCAACTGTTTCAACCGGATGTTCGCGGCGCTAAGGCGAGAGCCACATTTTGAAAGTGGTCCGCCCTGCACCCGTGAAACTGTTCTCATTTTTCAGCTTCAGGGTTATAAAAAGGTGAGGAAGTCTCAGGCGAAACGCCCGGCCCGCCCTAAGAACTGGCCTCGGGGTGCGACAGGGAGAAGTTATTCATAAGGAGAAGAAGTGGAAGAGAAGGAGTAGGAGGAGGAAGGAGGAGCAGGAGGAGGAGGGCATCCAAAAGGGCCAGAAGTCTCTTGTGCCTCCCGGAGCCTCTTGGGATATCTCTCGGGCGCTTCTGGGTCGCTTCACGGGACGTCTTGGGGGTCTCTCGGCGGTCCTGGGGGGCTCTTGGGCTCTTGGGTGCCTCGGGGGGCGGCCTCTTGGGGCCGTTTGGGGTCCTCTTGGGGACCTCCTGGGGGCCTCTTGGGGGCCTCTTGGGGCCATCATGGGGCCATTTTGGGGCCTCTTGGTGCCTCCTGGGCGTTTTTTGGGGCCATCTAGGAGGACATCGATTAAAGAAGGGGGGTTCCTTAATTTCGGCTTCCTTCCCCCCAAGAGGCCAAAATGGGGACAACACCTCAGTAGAATCACTGATTTTGGCTTCCTCGTCAAGGTCGCTATGGACGCCCTGACCGCTCGCGAAGCCCTCCGTCCAGGTTCAGGGGGGGGCGTAGGGGGGAGGGGTAAACCCTTCCCCGAAGGGGAGGAAGGGGGTTGGAAGAGGAAACTCCCTAAACCCCTACGCCCAGAGGGCTGTGGGGATTTCACCACAAGGTCTTTGGCTTCCTCGAGCCACTTCTGCAAGGCCTTTCTGTCCTGGCTGCGCTTCATCTCCATGTCCTCCGTGCACAACAGCATGATGTCTTCTGCTTTCTTCTCCTGTTTGTCGATTACCGGCGGCATTGTGTCTTCTTTATCGGCCTTGCCAGTCTTCTGGATTTTCTTGCCCCTGTTGTGGCCCCTCCAGGCCATGTGTGGTCACCACCGCGTCCTTCCCAGTATCCAACAGCGGATTCGACCCAACTTTTGCGGGCCCGCGATCTCAGGTAGGTGCTCATCCTGCTCATCCGTGTCCGTCCCGATGACTTGCGCGATACAATCGAGATAATCGTCTTCGTCCAGCGACTTCTGCGGGTCAATGATGTAGAAGTGCATGGCTGCTCCTTCGGCGGCCCATTCAGCTTCTGCAGGTGGTTCGGCTTTCACTTCCAGGCTGGTGGACTTCTCCAGCTGTTGGAGCTGTTTCTGGTCTCTCTGGTCCTCCTTGTTGGTCGTTTCTTTACTCTCTCTCTTGTCCTTCTTGTCCTTCTGGTGGAAGCCAGGTGGGAAGAGCGCACCGTTCCTGACCACCCCGACCCTCGATTGCCGGGGCGACGTTGCAGGCCTTGGGCGTAGTGGATGGTCCTCCTTCGGCTCCAG